ACAATATTCTTAGGAGAAGGGATACACACTTTGGATACTACTCTAACTTACCAATCTTATTGCCACTCATGTGTTGATAAATATTCTGTATGCACTGTTATGTGGTGGGTTTGGTGGGGTGGGGGTGGGGGTGGGGGTGGGGCTTCAAGATAGTTTAATCTTTTGGTATTTGTGGTTTGTACTTTTGTGTTGATTCTCTGTGACTTGACCAGCCAATGTATTTATTTTAAGACTGTGTGTGTAAATATTAATGATGTATATTCTCTGTTCATTTGTTGGTTGTCAATCTCTTCATATAAATGTACAATTGGAACAAAGACAATAACTTTCTTAATTCAATGATTTTAGTTGTGAATCTTTATTTTGTTTTATTTTGGCATAAAGTCGGTTGCTCCATTTTAAATCATTGTTGGATTTAACTTTTTCTTGTACTCCACATATATGGTTTCAGTTCAGTTGTTTCAATGTTTGAGTTTTTCTAGTCTTGATTAAAAAAACATCAGGATTCTTTTGGTCCATTGCCTGAAGGGAAATTTGGCTAAGGAAATGCCTGAAGGGAAAAGGAAAGTGGAATCTTCATAGGAGCATGCTACACTTACATCAAAAAATATACACCATTTGTACCCCACAGTTATGCACAAACATTTTGATGGTTTACACTGACACAAGTTTTGGTGCGTTAACAAAAATTTATACGGACACAAATTGTTGGTGTATTAACAAAAATTAGTTTTACACCTACACAAAATGTTGGTGCAAACATGCGGGGTACAAATTGGGGTATAAATGTTGGGGTACACATAGCTTAATCCATCTTCATATGTTCAAACAAAGCGTAAAACAACACTGGACATCAAAACTTTAGGGGGGGAAACTACAAGTCAATAATGTCGATGTTAAATAATAAAATAACTACAGAGTATGTGTATGATAATTTTTATTATTAAATTTCATCTTAATCTTTAAATAAAGTATATTAAAAATTAATTCAGCCAAACACCGTACACCGAAATAGACACTATAAATTAGTGTACAATAATTTTATTACTATACTCCGTTAAGATATAAGTAGACTCGTTGGTCACATTTTACATAAACGATTGTTTCTTTGGCGTGGCTCCTCTTATCATTTGCGCGCACGCGCGCACACACACACATAATGACACCAGTGCTACTAGTGTCATTATTAAGTGCATTCATTAAATTTCACAAATATTCAGCCAATCAGCCTTTAGCCTATAAATTATTGACTCAAAATTCAAAAACAATCTTGGAAGTCAATGAATGATGTTTGTTTGTCTTGTGTTATTTGTTTGGCCAAAAGTAAGCTTAAGGATGAGCCCCATCCCCGATAGCTCCGTTAGACCTAACCTGACGGTCACTAAAGAGAGATAAATTAGATTTTAATCACAGATTGATGGTATGGAGTAGAACATGCATAGACTTTAATCGCTGATTAGTGGCCAAAAACAAGCTAAGGAAGAGGGTGTTTTATGTTTTGTCATGACTGAGAAATAGATTATGTACTAGTATCTAATATTAGCATAGTATTTGGTATATTGGATCTATAATAGCATGTCCAATATAGATTTTCTCATATACTATTTAGGAGTATTTACAAAGTCAAATTTAACTAATATTGTTTATCTAGTTTTACTACTCATTTCATAAAATGTTATAGTCTTAACTTCTCTTGTTCCCTAAATTTTTTAATGTATTTATCATATAAATTTTATTTTTAAATTTTACACTTATAATCAAATATGTAAGATTGAAAATAAAATCAATCAATCTTCGTAATACGTAATGAGATCTATGACAGACATAGGGAGTATCATGTATCCAATATATAACACCACCAAACCCGGAAAAATTTACGAAACATTTTACATTGGGACGGTGCATTTTGGCATGTTATAATTTGCAACATTAAAACATTTCAATAATTTAACGTTGTAGAGGAACATACCAATAACGAGGCTAATATTAGTAAAATACAGTACAAGATTAGTTTCGGCATATTCTCATTTCTCCAAAATTTCATGGCCTGTGCAACAATACTTTGATTCCTTTTGGCATTTACAATGTTCAAAAAAAAAAAAAGACAATGGTTGTTCATGACTTTCACTCTCTCTTGCCATCACCACCGCCATCTTCGGCTTCATCTTCTACGTCGCCAGTTCCAGTTCCTTCTCTCTTCTCCATATTGGTTAAACCGATATCGCCTCCTCCTATTGCACTCTCTTTGCACAGGGATTCTGTCTCCTCGTCATCACTATCTTCCCCTTTTACATCCGAGTATGCATACCTATAATCATGTCATGTATGTATATGCATATGTGTGTGCGCGTGTATATACATACATATACATTCACACACGTATCATACACTGGTTGTTAGTTTGTTTAGCAGCCAAATTATGGTTTTTCTAAAGACTAACAGATGGAAGAGAATAAACAACAAGAAGCAAAATTAAAGAAACGAGTGCAATTACTGCAATCCAATCGCAATCCCTCTATATTAGAAAAGGATCCAAAAGCTTAAGAAAAAAGAGGAAGAGGGAAGGATCCGAAAAGAAAAAATGCCAAGAGAAAGCTGCCTCTGATGTGCTCCTAACCTGATGATTCTACGTGTAAAACATAGAAAACACCGAGGGTGCAATTGGAAACTGTAAAACACTAGGGAAGGAAAATACGAAGAAACTATATAAGGAAAATTTGAAGGAAAGAAAATGTAGGGTAAACGAACCAAGTCAAATGGGAAAGATAATTTTAGGACGGAGGGAGTATGTAAATTCTATTAAGTAAGAAATCTAAGTAAATGTTAATTTAATGAAAAACCCAAACATATGACAACTTCCCATAGCATTTTACTTCCTTTCCTAGCATTTTCAAGGATCCAAACATAGCCTTAAAGAATTGTTCATATAAATTCTCAAACTAATTTAACATGTTTTTTTAGAAAAACATTTTGATTCTTAAATCTTACTTACTACTCCATATAACACAAGAACTATGTATCAACAGAACCCACTCTAAAAGTGTTACTGAAGAAACACTTTACAGTACCTTTGGGAGCTCTGAGAAGGTGCCCAGAGGAAGCAGATGACACACAGCAGTGCAAATGCAAGAATGTCCCAGAAGGCAGTGATAATCCACGCACTCTGCCACTTCTCGTTGAACGGATCAGTTGCTTTGAAGTAAACCTTCAATGAAGAAACCTTAACCATCAACACTCCGCAATTGTACTTTTTAAGGGTTCAGACTTCACAAACCAACTCTAAGTTTTCAATTCTCTCCCAAACTTAAGTTTGAAAAAATAGAAAATTGAAACTGACGTGTATAGAGTATCTAAGAATTGAAGGACTTCAAATTAGAAAACAAAACTTTCATCATTTCTGATGAAATTTCAAAATTCGTGCAGATAAGTGGCTTAGAAGTTCCAATACATTAAGTGAAATTTCCTTGTGAAGTTTGAAAAGCACAAGATAATAAGATCACTTGGTTCTGTGACATTAAAATTAAACTACAAATGCAATAGATAATCCGCAGCATGCAAGAGGATGGGTGAACAATTCAAAAGATATATGCAATGCAGGTTCCATTTGTTTGCAGAGAAAAATAACTTGTAGTGGAAAATATTTTCAGCCTTGAAAACATATCCAAGCAAAATAAGATTTACTTTAACTGTTCATTTAACGAAAATTTTATGCTCTAAAATAACTGTCACCTTAAAATATCAAAAGAACAGAATATCCATAAATGTTACATGCAATTCTCTTAGCATGTGGGCATATACCTAAAACAACATTTCAGAGAGAAAGAGAGTGTGTATAATATAATGTTTGGCCCAAAAAAAAACTCCTAGAAAACGTAACTGTTCGAGGAAAATTACTACCCCATCAACGGGAAGGAATTTTCCACAAATCTTGAAAGAACCAAGCAAATAGTTTCTTGAATAAGCACAGCAAAATTAGATAACATTTTAGAGGTTAGTAATTTTTCTAGAAACAGTCTTAAAGACATAGAAATAAAGAAGAGTTACTCATAATCAGTAAAAGTTCATAAATAGTGGCTGTGATCGTGAAAAAGCACATACCTCATAGCCTATCCAAACTACTGAAGCAATGACAGTAACAGCTAATGCATTTGAGAATTGCCTATATAAATCTAACTTCACAGAACTTCTCTTTGCCTGGAAAGGTGAAATCACGGTTGATGAGCACACTATTACATCTAAATGTTACCAAAAAGGAGGAACTAATGAAAAATGTTGTACCTGTAGCTGCTCAAGTGTCTTAGAAAGAGAAGTAAAAACCCACATAATCAAAAATGCATCCAAGAATGCATCAGGAAGAACCAAAATGAGTCTAGCTCTTCCTGCTACATCATTTATGGTCCCCACATACTCAGTAATATTCAATAGCTCAGATGCCAAGAAATATGTGATTCCAATTAGTAACACCTTGATTGTAAGACCACCAAGTGTGGGACGTACAACACCATAACCCATTGAGATGGAAAGAATAAGGATGCGCGAAATAGTTCTCCTTATTGCCTCAATGGTCACAACCCAATATGTGAGGCCCACAGGCCTTGATCCAGTGTTATTGAAGTGAGCATAGTCCAAATACCAAAATAGCATCTCAAACAACCCAAGAGCAATAACACTGGCAATGCAGTGTTGAAGTGGCAATACATCCTTCCAGTATCTCACATACTGAAAACACCAGATGGCACATAGGATAACATATGCTAAAGACATAACAGAATAGAATTTCATTAGGGGTGCCATTCTACCAGGTAAAAAGCCATCGGGATTTTTCCATATTGTTTTCCCGGTTACTTTCATTCCCTTGAGATTTGGATCACATGAAATGAAAAATAAGTTATACATCCCAGTCTTTTGTATATAAACCTCCCTGTTTTTCATGCGGGCACTTAACTGTTTTCCTTTAAAATGTACATTCAACACCACTGGCCAGTTAATATCTGTTGCTGAAGGTGTTCTAATGACTTCTCCTTGTTTGCAACCTTCCAGTTTAGCAAGATCAGGGGAACAACAAATAGACCTTTGCCCCCCATAGGGTGAACCGCCAATGTTATCACGGTCTGCTGCCTCAAAAATTATGATCTGTATCAGACCGCTATTGTATGTGATATTTTGCTCTGCGGTTTCTTTACTCCTCCAAAATGTGAGATTCTCAAATCTATGCATAGACATCAACAACAACCCAGTAAGATCTCACAAGCGAGGTCTAAGAAAGTTATTTCAAATATAGGACAGCTAACAAATTTGCTAGGAAACATCAAGAGTGACAACATGCGTTCTTTTACACTTACTAATAACACTGTAACTTAACAACCAACTCATGTGAGTATATTTTTTCATTTGATTCTAACTCACCATCCACCAAAATATACTTCCAAATCAAACTAGTAATAAGATCAGTATAATAGTCTAAATCTATAATGGCAATGACCAAGAAACATAAAACCATGGGCTAGTGCTAGCTAAAGGGCTTGTAAATAAATTTAATTTCTACCTTTGCAATAGAATGAACCTTCAATCCTAACTTGAAACTCAGGAATTAAGATGTGCTAAATCTGGACTAGGATTTATTAAGTAAATTTCTTAACGACATTAAATTTAGCCTATAGTTAATAAACCAACCTTCCATTTATAGTTATTCGGGCGGATCCAGGTGGCAGAAAGGGGGCAGCTGACATAGTTTCCCTTGGGTAGCCGGTTAGATAGATTAAATAGTCCAGACATTCCCCAATTCAAAGTCTCATTATGGCCCCAATAACCTAATGACATAGCCCATTAAACAGCCCAATCAAAATAAAGTCTCAACTCTCAATCCCTAATTTATGTCCCTTCCCATTAAACAGCTTGTGCAAAGTTAGAGACACCTAACACAAGGCACTAATGAAATCACAAATGTGCCAATGTATGAGATTTGATTGTTACAGATATTTCTCCTCACCTACTCAATTGGAATTTCTACCCTGCGGTAGCATCCATCGGGGCTTTCTCCTTCATTGCTCAGATCAGCGCCGACAGATATAACACAATTTCAAGGTATATTAATATCCTACAAATCTAATTGACTGTCTTTTTCCCTTTTTGCAAGCATTTACAAATTTATTGATTACCTGATTAGGAAAAACAAATTTAAAGTGCCCTGTGTGTTTTATGTGTAACTGTTCATACGAGTCATAGAAATTTTACCATTTTAACTCATCTATTTGTTGTTTGTAGTAAAAATAAAAATGTTGGTATAGGCGCGAATTCAATGGTTACTTGATTTTGCATAATTGAATTGGTGACATGTTTTTGAGTAATGGTATAATTTGTTTTTAGAGGATGAAATATACTGTATCTTTATTTGACTCTATACAGCTTAAAAGGTAACCAATCACTTCTACAAAATGGAAAAATGTTGAGAATAGCTGTCAACTATATTGAACTTTATAAATCGCTACTGCACTGATAATTCTTCCCCCAATAAACATGTTTTTTTCTGGATCAGCCGGTGTTGTGCTTACTGTTCTCGCCTCTTCTAGATCACAAAACCTAAAACTCAAAGATGTGGTTATCTAAGTAAACAAATATACTCCATATTTGATTTTGAATACTCTGTTCAGCTACTTGAACTTCGATTCACACATCCAAACTTGAGTGCAATATAAATGGCGCACTATCACTTAGCTCAGCAATGTTCGAATGGAGTCAAGCAGAAGAAAATGCGAAACTAGATCTAAGCATACACAGACTATTTGAACACGATCTGACCTATAAATATACATAAAAGAGAGTTAGATGTATGTAACGTTCACCTGATGTAAGAGAGTCCGTCGCGGACAGCGGAGCGAAAAGTATGACGCGGCTTGGGGACGAAGAAGGTGGCGCCGAGGCCTTCACTTCCGCCGCCGGCGAGGTAGGCATTGCCGACTTCTCTAAACGGATCTTGATCGTAGTTGTGTACGGAGGCTTCAGCTGATCCAACCGTATAGAAAATTGTGGCCAAGGCGGGGAGAACTGTGACGAGTAAACAATGTATCGAAGTTCGCGCCATGCTTGTCCTCAGGATGGCCGATTCCGGCGAGTAGATCGGCTATTTTTCAGGGTGGCGGTTGGGGATGGATGGAGGGTAAGAGGACTTTGAAGCCTCACTGTCACAACTGAAAATGTCAAATCTTTTCCTCAAATTCCTTTTTTGATTTTGTGATTTTTCCTTTTTCTTCTTTTTTTAAATAGAAATTGATAATGGATCCTTAAAAAACATTAAACTTTGTTAACTATGACATACTAGATGTATAGTATATTCTATACATCTGTCTGAATATTTATTTTCGAATAATAGAATATTCATTTTCTAATAATTAAATATTTATTTTCCAGTATAAATTATCTTTTAAAAAAATGAGTATTCAATTACTCAAGAATGAATATTTAGTAGTTTGAAAATGAGTATTCAGTAACACGTCAATGAATACTTGCTATAGATATACAGGAAGCACACTACAACAGATTGTATGATATATATTGCAGGAAATTCTAATTTTTTAATTCTACTTTCTTAGTGGATGTTTTATCAAACTTGCTAGAGACTCAAGAGATGACCAAAATTTTGCGAATCCCACCAAGTTTGTATCAAAAGGATGAGTGCTATTGGGAAAGGAATGCTCTTAGAGAATATACCGTGAAGGAGGGATACTGACGCCTCGCCACTGTTGCCCCTGGTTTCTTCGATTGGGAGTGTATATAACGTTTACTGATAGCTTCGAAAGTTAAAATTTGTCTTTGGCGAGCTTCACGAGGGATTCTCCCGACTGTTGCAGCCCTCCAATTAAAGGAAGTAGAGGTACGAAACCATTGCCCTCTATATGGAGATCTCGGGGAAACATTAGATCATGTGTTATTTCATTGTCATTATGCTGGTTTTGTTTGGCATATTATTGGAAGGGGAGGAATCATTAGTAAAGGGGATTCATTTGCAACTGGTTACGAGGTGTGGCTTCCATATGTTCTAATCTAGAACTTCAATGGGTGGCATGGGGCGTTTGGGCTCTAAGGAAAGCATGAAACACTAGTTTATGAGAAAGTAAAGTCTCACTCCATTGGTAACAGTCAACCTGGTGTAGCGAATGACGATGAACTGGAAGGAAAGTGCAGTCGTGTTCACTAGGAGGAGATCTACTATTTCCGAAACTGATTAAGGAAGAAAACTACAGATTTTATGTTGATGGTGGTGTGTTTCCTCATTCATGTTTGGTTTCGTTTGGTCGCGTTCTCCTCAATCCAAGCGGTACTTTCCGAGCGATTGTGAACGGCAATAGGATACGTGAGCCGGATCCAATATTCACGGAGGCGTTGGCATGCAAGGAAGCTCTTTCATGAATAAAACGTAAAGATGTTTCGTCTGTTACTATTTTCCCATATAATTTGCATATGGTTAATGCGATTAATGATGCTTTATCATCAAATCAATCTTATTTTGGAGGAATCATTGAAGACTACAAATCTTTAATGTTTGAGTTTCGAGACAATTCATTTAGTCACGTTCTTCGCTCTGGTAATTCGTTTATTGCTCGTAAGACAAAGTCTCTTTCTATCTAGTTCTTGGGAGTATAGCCGGCCCAATTTTTGTAGAACACCTCTTGATCAATAAATATATTTTTCTTCCTTTCAAAAAAAATGATTTACTTATTTTTTTTCTTTTTAGAAAATCATATATACTCCATAGTTCATAATATTTTTTTATTCCAAATAAACTCTAACAACTCAAATTTTAATATTCCACATCTTTTCAATATTTTTAAAGGATAGGAATATTTTTAAATTATAACCACCTTATTATTTTTTAAAATTTTTTAGACAGGAAGCAGTTCACACATCCGAGAGAGAAGCCATCATCTTCAACAGCTCAAACACAGTCTCCGTCACCGGCCGGCTTCATTTCCAGGTACTGTCATCGGCTTCTCCTCTGCAATTTTACTTGTGAATGAATCTTCTCCTTTTTTTTGCGTACTATTGTGCCATTGTTTTTTATTTGTAAAAAAAGAAGAAGAAAAGAAATAATATGAGGGTCCGTATGGTACACGGAATTGAAAGAATTGGAATTGAATTGAAATTAAAATTTCATAGGATTCAATTTCATAGAATTGAATTCACCAATTCCAATTCATTTTTTTGCACTACCAATTCTAAATCCACATAATTTTTGTGTTACCAAACACTAGAATTGGAATTGAAGTCCTTAATTCTAATTCCATACTATGAATTCCGTGTACCAAACGGGGCCTAAATTTTTGCTTCATACATGCAACCTTACTTCCGATATTGTTATATATTCTTCTGGAATAATTTTGTTTATCAATTTTAATGCAATGTTATTTTGGACTGGAAAAACTAACTTCCAACTCCTTCCAGTGTCTTCTAACTTTAAAATGTATTTATATATGATGATTATACAATTAATAACATTATATATATCCAAATTCATAACATATTATCTCAAACACGGATAAAAATGAATTCTTTTTTATATTCAAAATTATTTTTTTAACATATTTGTTTGTGTGATCATTTAATTGAGTGACTTTTTTAACACTTTAATTCTTCCACTATTTTTCAACTCCTTCCAATTTTTTCAAATTTCTTCCAGTTTCTTCCAACATCCAACTCTAAAATTTCAATATAAAAGAACAAGGCCTAAATGAGTACCCAAACACTTTTTTGGTCAAAGTGTTGTTACACTTTGGCTACAAATTGTGAAAAATATGCTGTGATTCAAACATTTTTTCTTTATAAACTACACTTGTGGCGATATTTTGAAATTGAGGGGTGTGGCTTAGATGGGAGAGAAGGGGTGCAAAAGGGGGTAATGCTCTTCTTGGCTGCTTTAATAATGTTCCTAAAACTGCAGCTTTTTTAAAGTTTCTTTTAGTTCAATCAGTGGATTAGAATAAGAGGATTCAAGTTTGTTAGAGTATAAAACCTTTAGTGAGCCAACAACCACAATTTTGACCTTGTGGTTGAGTCGGTCCGTTAACAGAGTTTGATGTAATCTTTCTCATACATGACTCATGCAACTTTTTGTTACCATTCTAAAAAAAAGTAGATAAATTAGTGCCTTACTGCATACATGGAAATCTAGGTACCGGTAAAACTGAAATAGTTTTTGCAAACATTTAAGTTCAATTTTGTTATTTAATTGACAAAATAGCAAAAGATATATGTAACTCTATCAGTCATAAGCATACTGAATTGCAGCAAATTCTGGATTGTAGGAGCTACAACTTTAACACATCAAATAAATCTTTAGTTGCTAACTTGCTAAATAGAAAATTGAAGTCATAAAAGTTAGGGAACATGATCGTAGGAACTACGACTTTATGGACTCGTGCTATTGAGCACGAGTCCATAGCTTTGTGGTTTTGTAAGAGGACAAAGACATTTGGTTCTTTAAGGAACATTTGGAGGGTTGAGGGGAATAGCTCCAAAACCAATCTCATTATCTGCAATAAATTGCCACTTTTGGTATATCAGAGTACCCTCTTCTTGTTCTTCACGACCAAATGCGTTTTTTTCATCCTCCGAGTCGCACCGAATCTTATGAAGTTGGCAACACAGAGCATTAGTTGACGAAGAGGGCTGTTTATGAATACTTGACCTTTTCTTTCTCGTAACACTCTCGGCATTCCAAGCTGGTTCTTGAGGCGCTCCTCTCACTAGGCTAACTGCAAACATTGTTGTATATATACAGGGCAATAAACCATTGGTAAACTTTTTAAAATGCAATACATTCATGGTCCAAGAAAATAGACTCTTTTTTTATAAAGACAAGGTTGCTTACATCATGACCCTAAGATCTCAACAGAGTTGACAAGACTGTCAAGAAACTAATTTAACCAAAAGCTCAAGCTTGTGATTGTGGTCCAGGAAATATTACTTATATTCTAAAAAAGACATTATACTGGGCTTGTTGTTGTCTAACTTTAGGTTTGATCAAATGGTATGCAATTGCAAATGGTGTGTATGACTATTAGTGCTATGTTATATTTTTCTTTCAATTATGTATTATTGGATACTCCCTCCGTCCCATAAATAATCCCACATTTCCTTTTTTTTATTTCTCCCAAAAAAGGTTCCTTTTTCCACTTCAGAAAACAATTTTGCCGCCCTCATTTTACTTTTTTAATCTCAGTGTCATATCAAAGGTGAAATGTTTTTATGGGACGGAGGAGCATCTTAAAGTTGTTCTCAATTAAAACCATTTCTCGATTCAATTTGGGCAGAGATAATTCTGAAAACCAAGAAAATTGCAGAAGTTTTTTATAGGCATTTTATTATTGAACTTTTGCAAACAGTTTTCCTTTTGGTGTTTAGAGACTTTCCCTTGGTGCAATTATGTTCCTACAATGTCCAGTTTCATTTTTTTCAGTCAAAGTTGACAAACTTCGATCAACAATTAAAATAATAATTGCATTGCATATTAATATCAAAATGGTTTATTAGATATATCTTGCAAAATATTTTCAAAATAATATTTTATTGTACTAATATATCATTTAATTGTTATTTAACTGACGATTAAATTTCATCTAGCTTACCCTAAAAATATTTCATCCATTTTGACTTTAAAAAAAGTAATAAAAGACAAATATTTCAAAAATATTTTTCTGACTTTGACTTCATGTAGATAAAAAAAAGTCAAAAAAATCTTTTGGGATGGAGGGAGTATTAAAGAGTATGAAACACTACCAGATATTATTCACTCCGTGTCTGTCTCAGTATATTTGTCCAATTTGACTTTTTTTAGTCAAGTGGATGAATATTCTTAGTTTAAGCTAGACGAACTTTGACAAATATACTGAGCTAGAGTGAGTAGTATTTAGTTAAATTACCTTCTTCTCCTTGTGGCAGCATGCATTTCTCTGGAGATGGCACTGAAGATCCCGAGCTCGAAACGACACATTTTCCCCCCTCAGGAGAATTCAAAGACGGATCAGTTGCTTCAAGTTTCAGCTTTTGGGAATAGTCGGTTCTCCTTGCCGGATGCTTTTTCGCCTCATTAGGTAATGTGTTTTGATTCTTTCCATTGGCATAGTACCTAGAAAGGGCATGTTTTGGAACATAATCATTGAGGTTTTTCCTTAGCCTCCATCTTGATCCACACGCATTGCATAGAACTGGTTTTTCCGGCGGCCCCATTCTCCAAAGTGGAGTATCTGTTCCATTGTTTTTGAGTCTAAGGGGTTGATTCTGATTAACAACAATTAACTCATACAGAAGACCATTACAATTGATTTTTTTTAATTTTCTTGGTTCTTTGCAAATCTATAAAAGACTCACAAAGGGTCTATCTATTTCTTTCCCACACACCCTACTCTCAAGTAGGGTATACTAGAGTCTGCTCTCTTCGTCCGATCGCATTGGATCAGATGGTGTTATTAAGGTATGACCTGATCTTATCAAGTCTCTTCTAGTCTGATCTGATTATAGTTATTCTTAAAATTCATTATTTTTGATTTGATCTGGTCAGATATGGTCTGGTCGGATTTCAATAAGAATAAGTAATAAGAGTAAGTTAAAGAGAACAAGCTCTAGATTTGTTTGATTTAGTTATATGAGAGTGAGGATAATAAATATAGGTTACCATATATGAATTTCTATTTCAAATTTCTATTTCAACGTTATAGTTATATAACGTCTTACGGAAAACATAGAACGTAACGGAGTTTTTTATTAGACCCCATATTCGTCTCTCAACTCTCATATTCGTCTCTCAACTCTCATATTACGGACTATTTGATTAGCTTCAATTGCCTTGATTGGCTTTAACTTGGAAATAAGACATGTTTCCTTAGTTTCATTGGGATTTCAAGTTTGACATTTCTGGTCAAATCTTTTAAACTTTGACTAGTGTTTTAATCAACATTTCTTAATAAAAGTTAAACATTTTATACTTTTATGGAACTATTTTGAATAAAGAACTTTTTTGTATTACTTTTGTGTTATAAATCATTTGTAATAAAAACATATATGTTGTCAAAGTTTAACTAATTTAACTGGAAAAATCAAAATTGGAAAATCTCAATGGGACAAAGGAAGTATATTGTAATAGGAATAATGCTCATTTATTAGTACCAATTGGATTAAATGGTTCATTAATATGACGTTCAATTACTTTTATGTAAGTTTTGACGACTAGAGCCTTTTAGAGGGACGTGAATGAGATCTAGATTTGATTGAAATTGCAAGCCTGTGTCAAATGTAGTTTATGAATATTGATATAGCTTTTAGGTATATTTTCTGAAGTGCTTATATTTTCATGAGCTGTTGTCATAAGACCAAGCCAAGCAACTCTCCGAGAACTATAGTGGACAGATACAAGGTGATACCATATTAGCATCAGAGCCACACCTCAAAAACTAGCTATTAAGGCATGAGAATCCTATGCTATATAAACCAATCACCAAATCCCCCGTTTGACTGGTGTGGGACATTGGATCAGTCAAGGCTAATACAATCCTAAGGTTTGGCCAAGGCACTCCCAGGTTTGACTCTAAACCATTTAATTGATCTTGGGGCTAGGGGTAGTCTTGGAACAAGACAATGAAACAGTAGATATCAAAAACTAGGATATGGGTTAAGGTCTGTGTACCCCCACAAACATTTGGGTATGGGATAACATATTTTAAATTACACAAAACTGCAATGAATTATTGGACATTTTTTTTTATTCAAAGCAAGCTAAACAAAATTTTTAATGTAAAAAAACATATTGAATGAATTTAAGGTTTACAAGTTTAATATATTTTTTGGATATGATTCATAGTTAATATTGATTATTTTTAACAAAATCCTATTATTCTTATAATTAATTTTTTTATTTATAAATTTCAACCATTCTACCAAAATCATTGGACAATAGCTTCAAAAAGAGCCTTTTGAGGCCTAGTAGCTGTTTAAATGCTTATTAGTTTGAAAAAAATTCATCCTAATGCTTGGAGAAATTTGAAATTTTACAATAATACTCTAATATCGCATGATTATCATTAGCGTTATGAGCAAGTTTTATACTTTTACATTAATACCCCAAGAGACATTTTAGTTTGAATGAATCCTTTGATATTTAGGGTGTATTTGTGATAAATATACAATCTTGGAGTATTGTTGTAAAAATATTAAACTCTTAGTAACGTGTGAGATAATTATGTAATTTTGAAGTTGTATTGTAAAAATATTGAATAGTTAGGAGCGTGTGGAATAATTACGAAACCTTAAAATATTATTGTAAAATATCAAATTTTTGAAGTATTTGCATGAATATTTCCTAGATGTTTTGACTATGTGTCTATGTCAAACAGCTCTTTTTAGAGCCAAAAGGCTCTCCATCAAACAGTCCCACAATGGAAAAAGATAATTCTGCACACCCCAAAAAAGAACTATAATTAAATATTTGAGAAATATATAGAAATTTGGGAAATATTTCTCTCATGCAATTTTAACATTTCAGTTCTTCAATTGCTAAACAAATATCATGTCCCAAATATAGCATTATTTGAAAAACTTATTTCTTTTCCCAAAAAAGAATCTTATTTTAACCAAAACTCATTTTCATCATACTTAATGCTTTTATTTTATATAAAAGGTTTCTCAAACAATTATAGAGCTCTAGATTTAGTTGAACCAACTTATAAACACAAAAAATATAGCTATACTTGATTAGTTCTAAATTCTAATAATTATATCTTTCTGCTAAATTTAAAATTTTACAAGGTGCAATACTATCGTCCTATGAGTTTTCTGACATAGAATCCTAAAACTGAAGCGTAAAATAACAAAAAATTAAAATGTTGGTGGTACAATTTACAAAGAAAACTCACGTGTTATGCCACAATGATGACATGGTCCTTGTCTTCCCATGGAATTTGTTGGTGAAGATTTTTCAACTAATGAAGATTTTTTTTTTACTCGAGAACTCATACTTCAATGATGTAATATACTTTTATTTCTATCTGAATTTTTGCCAAGACCAAATGAATTTAGTTGCATAAAAGTTAACAGCTGTTATTGTATTATTCCTATAATAGTTCAAGACACATTTATTTTTGACTATATATCTAATGGAAAGTAAATTAATTTTCTCTGAAGTGTTACGTTATATCTGGTCAACCAAAATCTTCTAATGCAAAAGTGCGGCTTTGTTTTCACATATTGTATCTTTTAGATTAGTTTTCTCTCCCATATTTTGCCTCAATAAGTTTTTTTTTGAACTTTCTGAAGCGAGAATTTAAACAGAGTTAAATGAATATTATATTATTCTCATTGAAAATTTCTCATATTGCATATTTAGAGATGATGAAAATTCACATTTGATTTCGTTACATTATTCTTTTATTAATTTGCATTGTGTCTAATGGGATGGAGATGTATCTTGTGCATTTTGAGTGTGCAATGCTTTGATATCAAAGCTCGCATATAAATTCTTATGATTGGACCATGCCACCTTTTATGGAATTTAATTAATTAAATTTCAATGATTAAATATTTGATCATATGGTAGTCTTTCGTACCTTTTCTAGTATTTAATTAATCTCACCCAACTAATTAACAACAAAATTAGTGTTTTGATTTGGGGCTTTATTTTGTGGAATTCATTGGTGGTGTTGCTCTTTAATTTGTTTGGATTGTGTGTATCTCATTTCAATCTTGCTTTAGTTAAATATTATCTCTTACGGGTTAAATCTTATGAATTTGTTTTTAAACAACTTCCAAAAGGTCTACTATTATTAGAATTGGGTTTAACCTTCCTTGATCTAATGTCATATGTTGGGATTGCATGTACTGTACTCTAACCCGCACTAGTATATACTTCTTCTGTTTCTTAAAACACTTGCTCTTTTATTTTTTTTATTTTTCCCCAAAATACTTCCAATCTCTATTAAAAACTCACTTTTACCCTTACTTTTTCTTATCCTACCTATCATATTATATTTTTTCATCGCTAATCTACACATCACATTTTACTTTTATCCATCACATCAAAAGCAAAATTGTAAAGTCAACCCCAAATATACACTCTTTATTTTTGCTAAAAGTCAAAATAGGAACTGTTTTAAGAAAGAGTAGAATATTATCCGCTTTGAACTAAATTCTCCTTTTTGATTGGTGTTGGGAAGGGTGTGCATGCATCCCAACATTGTTGTAATAATCAATAAAACAAATTAGTTACATATTGAGGAGTACTCCCTATAATAAGAGGCATGGAAAAGGAGATCATTAGAATGGGATTGAATGTAAATCCCCATTACCTCTAAATTTGCAATTATATATGAATTGCTCTATTAGAATGTAATACTCATTTCAATTGATAAGAAATGAGATCTCTCTTTGTTGCAAGAACTTCATGCAGAATATGGTTATTCTTTATTGTTGTTGCTAGGAGTCATACTCAAGTTTACTCCTTTGACACTCACCTTTAAACCACCTGAGTTACGTCATCCGAGTAAAAAATTTTATAGGATAAACTTTTAAGATTCTTTGTGTGAATTTTGATCGAATGGTATTATTATGTCATGTTTCACAAATGTACCATTCTTTAACCAATGTAATCTTGAAATTGGTACCAAATATAGCTATATTTGTGAATTTATTTGTTGGTTTTACTAAATTTGAAACTCCAGGCTTGTTTGGGACACTTTCTTACATGGAAAAAACATTAAGAGCATGTTCTATAGGACTGAAAAAAAGAACTGAATGTTACAAGAAGACACCGGCAAGAAAAATCATAAACAAGTCTATTATCTTACATAGTCCACATTACCCGGGAAAAAAATCATCACACAGAGTTGTAAACTATTCATATTATTGAGGGTCATGTTACATTATTGAGTTCATCACGTGCAATATTGATTACAAAATCCCCATTATATTCATAATGCATAATTAAATTCCAGACATATACAAAAAAAATCTACTCTCTAAGCAAACAAGAAAAAAAGACACATATGGACATGGGGCTCATTTGCTTCATTTTTTTTCAAACACATTCTGTCAATTATAATTTTAAAATCTGTTGTTGTAGTTGCTTTAGATTTTGAAAAGAAACCTTTTCCAATTCTGATTCCTAGAATTTGATCAAAAAATAATCAACCAAGAGAATCAGTTAATTCATAAATACCTAATTTTGAGAATCAAGATTGACCAAAAGCAGAAATCAAACCAAATGAGCCCATATATAGTTTTAAGATTCAATGTTCAAATGGCAATGCTTATAGAAGAGGCTAAGTGGTAGAGGATACTCGGCGCAACCTTATACTCTTTCTTCTTCTCGTCTTCTTCTTCTTCTTGAT